AGGGGTCTCCACTGCGTGATTAATGAAAATGCCTTTATAATTTCTTTAAAAAGTCAACAAAAAGAAGGAGACATCTCTTGGTTCCATTAGGAGTTTTTCAACGTCAGTCATCAGCCAGCACAAGCTGAGGCCTGCTCACTCTCACAGCCTCCTGGAACTGTGGAATTGTGAGGCATTTTAAAGCGCTATCCAAAATCATCTTTGCGGTGCCGCTAAGGGGCTCCTTGAGTGGCCCTTTGTCTCATGGTGAGAGAGACGGAGAAAGGGGTTTGACTAAAACCGTTTAACGTTTGCAACCCATGTGCAAAAGATCCACAGACAGGGCAAGATGTGACAAATGCAGTGCCCCCCCAGGGATTCAATCATAAAGCTATAACATCTGAAACTAATACACTTTTCGGTTTTTGCTGTACGAGGAATGCAAGCAACACGTGTGCTCTCAGAGTGACTGATGATGAACAGATTCCTCAGGTGAAAAAAAAAAAAGCGTGCGGAGGACGAGTTATTATTTGTCTGACATACTTTCTGCTTGTCGGCTTTTGATGTTTCGTGGTAATAAATGTACGAGGCGATGTCCACGAGGAATTAAATGAATGATTACAGTGTGTGCAGCTGCCAGAGTAGCTTCTTTTTGTATGTCATCACTATGCGAGACATGCTGCTATGGAGAGCTGTGGGATGGATCTGCTGTCATGGTATGATGTTTGGATGATGCTTGGGAAGCCTGTGATTATACACTGAAGAGGCCTTCAGGCCAAACTGTTAATTATATCTCTGATTGTGAATACGGGAAGGTGGTGGGTGGCCGAGGAGACAAACTTGTCAGAAGAAAAGTGGGCGAAAAATGCACTGCAAGATACCTTTTGAACTTTAGGGCACCGGTAATTGGAGAAGGGGGGTGGGGTAAAAGACATCCGACTATCAGGAACGATGAGCAGAGATAAAAGTTGTGAGAAGTGCTGTAGAGTGAAGTATACATTACAGGATAGTCTCGAAGAAATATAGTATTACAAGCTGTAGAGTAACAGGCTAAGACAAAAAAATCCAATACGTAGTAGATAAACGGTTATGGGGAAAAAAAAAGAGTGTTCACTGTTTTCAATTTTAGGGTTTAATGTATGTAAACAACTAAAATCATCTGCTCCTTAGCAGGCTTTAAATTTATTCACATCTAACCTCAAGTGTACAAAAACACAAACAGATTTCACCATGCCAATATTTATTAAACTAAAACAAAGCCAGCTAAAAAACAAAGTTTGAACAAGTATGGCTTGTTTAGAAGAGTTACCCAGTAAATGTCTCTTCTCTCTTAAAAGAACGCGGCAAGCACAACTTAGGTTTGTAAAGTTGCATCTAAATGAGCCCAAAGAGTTCTGGATCAGTGTCTTTTGGACAGATGAGACCAAAGCGTGGAGGTTTGGAAAGGTCTGGGGTGATGATTGTGGCTTATTTAGCAGACACAGGACCTCAGCACCTTGTAGGCATTAGGCACTCTCACAAATCACTTCAAGCCAGACCTGAGGCACCTTCTGACCTCTCTTGTGTGATTTGTGGAAAAACCAAGACTGCACAGGAAAGTTGAAGTCACCTCTAAACTTCCAAGCGAGGTGTTAGCATCATGATGGTTGACATATGAATGGGGAAGCTGGCTTCACTGGTCAGCGGAGTAGTGTGGTGATGATGGACAGTCAGAGCCACCAGCGGGCCACAGCATTCAGTATGTCCGACATGGATGAGGAGCTGTGGCGCTCTACATCAACACCACTTGGTTACACTCTATGCCTTTATCAGTTCTGTGATGGTGAATTCATTAATGAACGTGCACATCTTCAGGACTTGGGCATCTCGATTGATGATTGTTGAACAGTCAGACGCAGCCACTTAGCAGCTATACCACACAACTATTTTGTGCTTATTGAACTTTTCTGTAGATCAAGGGATTCTAGAGTCAATGCAAGAACATCTGTCTGACAGCTGATGCTTGGACCAAACTGGGGCAGGATTCAACAGAACAATGGTCCTAATCATAGCAGCAAACCTACAACTGGATGGTTGAAAAAGTATTAAAACAATCAAGGTGTTGCAATGGTGCAGTCTAAATCCACACCTCAATTCTGATTGAAATTCTGCGAGGGAACCTTAAGAGAGCTGTGCAGACACGAATATCTACAAAGCTCAATGAGCCAAAACGTTACTAAGAAGAGTGGGTGAAAGCGGCTGGTAAAACTCAGAGAGAAAACAACTACAGATAATTATTGCTGCCGAAGGTTGTTTCATTGGAAACATGGGGTGCTTCATTATCGTTTGAATCAGTAACAACATGGTGGATGTCACAATCTGTGCTTCTCTCTGTACTTTCCCACTGTTAGCCTCTGCTCCTCAGTCCTGCCACGCCCGCCTACACCTGCTCCCTGTTTCACCTGTCACAGTTGCAGCCACTTCACCTCACTACCCCCAGCCTGTTTAGTTTGTCAGTTTGTCAGTCCATTTTCAGTTGAACATTATTGACTTTCATGCCATTTTGGAGCTCTCTTATGCTTTCTAGTGTTTCTTACAAGTACCAATTCTCAAGTTTTGAAAGCTTTGCTGCCAGATCTGCCTTTTTGTTATGTTTTCCCAGTACATGAGTTTTATCCTTGGGTCAACCTGTTCACTGTGACAGTGGAATCTGTTTTGGTACACTTAATTATTTTAGAACCTAGTAAAAACCATATTATTTGATTAATGTCCTGATACATAAAATCATAGAATTGAAACGGGGTAGATTAATTTTTCTTAGTCTGTTGATTTCAACAGTCCATGTGTCAGGGTTTTGTTTTCCTGACCAGAGTCAAGTGTGCATCTCTGCTGCTGTCAGCTCTGAATGTCCTGCATCTGCTTTCTGTCTGGGACTTAATAAATATTTGCAGCATGGATCAAAGATAGTAATCTAGCTATTCTCGGGTCATTCTGGAGACACGGTCAGGGCATGAACTCAACATGTGTTTACCTTTCCTCATTGTGATTACAGTAAACATCAAATTTGTGCACCGCGAAGACTTAAAAAAAAAAAGAAAATATAAACTACTTAAGATAAAGACTTCCTAATCTAAAAAAATCAATGGAAGTTTGAGATGCAGACTGATCCAAATGTGGATGGCACATCTGGGAGATTCAAAGAGCTATTGTCAGTGCATCTGAACAAAACATGCCTTTATCCTCTCTTGTCCGAGCTGGGGAGGATTTCTGAGCCCCTACATCAGAGAGTTGGTGACGAGTTTTGTTTGGGATGATTGTGCTGAGGACAATGATCAGCCGTACCCAAACTGCTTCAATTCAGATGTTTTTACATCTAATTAAAGGAGATAAAAATAAATGTAGGCGATTATGAAAAATGTAAGAAAAATATATAGATATATGTGTAATATGTGTCTGTGCCAGCGTCCCACTTGTAGGTTATAGAGCAGGGACTCAGAAAAACAAAAACCCTCCTCACTTTCAAGAAGAGACAAGTCTGATCAAAGAACAGGAAGGATAAACTGGTTTATCATTACAAACTTTGCCAGTGGCTCTCAGCAGCTTTAAGACATTTTTTCTTATCTATAGTTGATTCTTCTTGAAGATTTAAAATGTAAACTTTATGCTGTATCACATCACAAACCCAGAGGCTGAAATAAAGCAACTTTTAGTGGAGTTTAACAGATTTCTAACATCTTTGGAGTCAATACAGAACTTATCACCATCAGACGTTTTAGAAATACCGTATTTTCCGCCGTACACATCACATCAGTCCAAATATGTCTAATAAAGTGGGAAAAAAACAAACAACATAAATAAGTTGCTTTGCTGTATGTCGCATCTGTTATGCGTCACTGCTGACCACCCGGAAATGTGGGCCGGTGTTGTGCCAAAAACCGATTGGCTGCCAAATGGCGGCCGCGGGAGCGTGCACGGGAAGACTTCAACAAGAATTTAACACGAATTTAACAAGATTATCACTTAAAAACAATTATTTGTTTGCTCGACATTATAGCAAAGGTGTTTCTCAGTTGAACTTTTCCTTAATAAATGCACTATATTAGTCAAATCAGCTGCATTTCAAAAATCAATTTGCGGAAGCATGCAGAGGGAGGACTCGCTGTGCATTTTGTCAAAATTTAACAAGATTAACACCTAAAAACAATCATTTGTTTGCTCGACTTTATAATAAAGGTGTGTCTCAGTTTAACGTTTCCTTCATAAATAATGGTCACATCAGCTGCATTTCATCTGGGCAGCAAAATGCAGCTGATCTGACGTTTGTTCCAGGAGTTCTGGAGCGAGACGAAGGTGGCTTGGTATGTCAAGCCAAGTGTCTCATTAATAGCCACTTTTACCTATTAATGAGACACTTGGCTTGCCATATCGCTCAAGGGCCCTCTAGTGGCTGGAAATGGTGGTGTTCAATATTTTTCATGTCAGAATGAATGAAATCGTCAAATCTCAGCCAAAACCTGGATTATAAATATGGAGGAAAAAAAAAACATATATTAGTCACTTCAGTGTATAAGTCGCAGGACTTGCAAATTTATGCAAAAAGGTGCGACTTATACGGCAAAAAATACAGTACTTTAAATCCCTTTTAATCTTTGGTTTGTTAGTAGAAAGGGCCAAATGTAAAGTTTCCATTTTACGATAGAAAATCAAACGTGTCTTAAAACAGTAATTCAGATCTGTTGAAGCAACACTAAGTCTACTTTGGACAAAATTTAGAAGAAGAGAAGAAAATCCAGACAATGTAAGCCTCCTGCTGCCCTTGGGTCTAAATGACCCAGGATGCCTCAGTCAGAACACTGAGACCTCGTGGGTCATTTTGACCCCAGGGCAGCAGGAGCATCTTGTTTATGGAACATGCTGGCACACCATGTAACATCTTCTGTCCTTGCTTATGACACGTTTGCTTAAATAAGAAAGATAATGTTTTATTATACAGTATTTAACCAAGATGCTTTTTTTTTTCTTGCAGGAGAGAAAATGTACAAGGAGGCGGATTAGCTAAAACACAGCGACCTACCATCTGCTGAGCTCTCACTTTATTTAAAGCCTGAGAGAAGAACCCAAACAAACCCTTTAAAGGTTTTTCTCCAGGAGACAGAAGTCATCAGAAAGGGAAGTTTTTGGTCTAGGATGTGGATAATTCATCGCTCAAAGTGCTCATATGTTTCAGACTTCATCAAAATTGAAAACAAAACAAAAAACGTTTCCACTGTGTTTTCATAGAAAACTGACGAAATACACAGGAGAGAAATGAGCTGTCTTGTTTTAAGAAACTGCATATTCCTTTTCTGTATGATAAACAAATGCTGAGGAAAGCAGCTTTAACTAAAAGTTTTTGAGGGCTGAATACGAAGCAGACTGGACTGACCTTTTCACAGTGATTTTTTTTTTGCACATGCACCTTAACAGGAGGAAGTTGCCATTTACATTGTTTCCCTTCATGCCGCCGTATAGACTTTTAATCTTTCAGATAAAGACCAGAGCCCTCTCTTAGAAAAAAAAAAAAAGTAATCTGCAGGCCGCAGACCGAGAAGCAAACAAAAACATGTTCTGGTGACCAAAATAGAACCGGAGAACGAGCAAAATCTGGGAAGGCGAAAAAAAAAAGGAGCAATAAAAAGATGCAAACAGGGAACGCTGGAGAGTTTCCCTTCCCTCCGTGCCAGTTTTTTTTAACAGAGCACAACAAACTTGAGTAATTTCTGTGGCTGCTTTCCATGGGAACACATCCAAAAGACACTGGAGCTGACCCTCCTGGGAGGACCGGATAAGCTGCGTTTAATACTTACTGAAGAAGAATGTTAAAGTAAAGTCCTCTTGTCAAACTCAGGAACAAAGTTTGCGAGGAATACTCCTGAACGAGAGGACGGGACTGCAAGCGGCGACCTGGACTTTTCGCAGCGTTTTCTTTTACTGTGTTCGCCGCATTCATTAAGGATTCAAAGGAACACGAGACTGACGTATCGTATTCTGGGTGGCGATGGAGAGAGGACACATGTCCATCAGGAGGGGAGTGAGCTGGAGTCCAGGAGAACTGAGAAAACCTCTGAAGCTAAAGGAAGACATGCACGGCTCCGAGTCGGACGGAAACACATCATGGGAGAGGAGGGGAGTCAACGAAAAGCACATGAGCCGGAAAACAAGTAAGTGTTTGTTTATGTTGCACTTTCTCTTAATACCTGGGCTACAAAAGCTGCAGCGAGAAAGTACCAGTCTTCCTTTGGGACACAGAACCACAGATGTGTCATTTCCAGAGGTTTTACTGCTGCTTTTGTTGCCATAGTGTGGCTTGGACGTAGCAGCTTCAGAAAATCTTGCTCAGATGTGGAGAAAACAGGCAGTCCAGGCTTGCGATGTGACACATTGAAGAGCTGCATGAAACATCTGCTGCTGTGTCTTGGAAGCTCAAGCTGCTCTGAGCAGCAGTGGAAATGCAATCACTTACGACTGCTAAAGGGCTGTCTTCATTTCCTCAAAACGCTGATAATTACAGCTTAACATGCGGGAAAAGGCTACTTGGAAACTTTGCTTCACAGCTGTCAACTTCTCCTGCTCGGTCCACTTCACACATTCATTTAAAGAAATAAACATAGAGTTGGCACTTCATAATAAGATTTTTTTTTTTTAAATAAAAATCATAAAACATTGCGAGATCTTGTGCAAATGTATTATCACTTGACGTATGTGTTGGGGATGACTCTCAGTTAATACCACATCAAACTTTAGCCCAGTTTTGGAATATTGGAGTTGCAGCCAATTTTGTGTTTTTTAAGGTTGCTTAGCTGTGGAAGCCATCTTGAATCAAACTGACTAATTAATTAATTTATCGCTTTCTGGGAGTTTCATAAAAATCTGTCAAGTCTTTCAGATACAATGGCAGGTCAAGAATCACATGTTAAAATAGAAATAGTATCAAATGAAAACTATTTAATTTTAACAGTTAGTTTAAGGAAAATAGATCAATTTGTCCTCCAGTAGTCTAAGCTTAAGGCAGCATAACAAGCCAACCCTAATGATAGAATTCATCAAAAAGGAAAGTTTTAATCCCAGTCTTAAAACTGGACAATGTGTCAGCCTCACGGACAGAAACTGGAAGTTGGTTCTACAAGAGAGGAGCTTGATAACTGAAAGATCTTCCTCCCATTCTGCTTTTGGAAACTCCAGGAACCACAAGTAAGCCTGTAGTCTGAGAGCAAAGTGCTCTGTTAGGAAAATATGGAACAATAAGATCTGTAATATAAGATGGAGCTAGGTTGTTGAGAGCTTTGTAGGTTGAAGTAAGAGTTTGAATTCAATTCTGGATTTGACAGGGAGCCAATGGAGAGAAGCTAAAACTGGAGAGATATGATCAGCCGATCAAAGCAGATGGCCGCTTGTCCTGAGTCTGGTTCTGCTAAAGGTTTCTTCCTCATGAGGGAGTTTTTCCTTTCCACTGTCATCTTCATGCTTGCTCAAAATGAGAGTTCTGCAATGGAGTTAAATTTAAAGCAGTCTGCTTCTCAATTCAATTCAATTTAGTTTATTTATATAGCACCAAGTCACAACAGAAGTCGTCTCAGGGCACTGAACAGAAACATTCATATATATATTAAAATAATTGAACATTATTTATCTGAGGAGCAGACTGCTTTGAGTTTAACTTCATGGCAGACTCTCATCTTGAGCAAACATGAAGGCGACAGTGGAAAGGAAAAACTCCCTCATGAGGAAGAAACCTTTAGCAGAACCAGACTCAGGACAAGCAGCCATCTGCTTTGACCGGCTGGGTTAGAGAGGAACAGATACACAATGGCAGGTCAAGAATCACATTAAGATAGAAATAGTATCAAATGAAAACTATTCAATTTTAACAATTCATTTAAGAAAATGAGGTCAATTTGTCCTCCAGTGGTCTAATAGTGAGACTTCCGCCGAGTAGCAAACGCTGGTTATTCGTAGCTCCATAGTTTGAAATGTGGCACCTCTGACTCACACCACAGTCAAAAGCATTCCTCCTCAGATAAATAGTAACATATTTTTATATTCATGAATGTTTCTGTTCAGTGTCCTGAGATGACTTCTGTTGTGGCTTGGCACTATAGAAATAAACTGAATTGAATTTCAAGAGTGACTTTGCTAACAGACACACAAAAAGCACAACAACACAGACATGGGTAAAAACATTATTGCCTGCCTTTCATCTTCCGGTGCGGGCGATAATAACACAACTTCCTCTGTTCGACACTGTATTCAAAGTGAATAATGGGGCATTGTGTAATAGAAAATTCACGGCCATCAAAAACTTCCTAATCTTGATCTGTGTGGTACCAACTCCCTTCCTATCAATCATCACTGACTAATTAGTTTCCTCAGATCATTAAAAAGAACACGAAATGCCTCGATAAAAGCCACTTTTCCCCCCATGTTCAGTAGTTTCCTGCTGCACTGCAAACTGTGAGCTAAAGGCTCACCTAAAACCAACAGAGCCGCGTTTCCACCTCTGCACCGCTGCTCTTTCATTGGTCCAACCACAACAACAGAGAGGTTAGGTCACACTCGTGCGGGTTTCAGATCCCAGGACCTCTGGTAATCCCCATCTTTCCATACCGTTTCACACATCACCCACAGGGGCCTGCCTTGTCACCTCCCTCCCCCTCCTCCCAGCCATCAACCAGGAGAAAGATAACATCCGACAGGGTAATCTGACCTTTGATACACAACTGCAGGGTCAACACCCACCCCCGATTTAAATTTTGCTGCTGTCAGGGGGAGTTTTCCTGGCCGCTCTCATCCACGCAGGGATGAAGGGGAAGGAGGGACAGAGGTTAGGAAGATGAAGTAGAGAAAGTTGGAGAAAAGGAGGGGTGTATGATTGAGGCTTTTAAATCAGGTCAGGGAATTCCTGCAGATTGGAGCTCAGGGCCAGAAAGGTTCCTCCATAAAAGGGCAAAAACTCCGAATGAGCTCAGTGAGAGCACAAACAGCATATGGCCACTGATGTTGGGAGGGCAGCAGGGGTCAGGTGGAGCTCCAGAGTCTCTGTGCTTTAATCCATGTAAGCACAAAGCCCAAGTATCTCTGGGTTGCACTTCAAAGGTTGCAACAAGGGGTCAGACTCTTCGCCTGCCGTCGCAGGACATGACAGAGATGCTGCTCAATACTTCCCATCGACCGAACACTTCTCCAGAACTGTCAAAACAAAGTCCCGTCTGCGTGCAGCCTCAACATAAAACGCTGTGTCAACAAACAGCGCCGGGCCTTTTGTCCTCGTGGGCGTCTCGGTTTTAATATTTAGTGAAAAGCATGTGGAGGAGGTAGTGGTGCACATAGAGGGGAAAAATACAAATTTAAAAAAGTCCTGAAGGCTGAGTGACAGCCTCCAGCTACAGAACCCCCTCCCTCTCCATCCGCCTGCCTGCCTGACTGTCTGTGCGCAGAAAAAAGAAATCTGATCCCCTGTCTCGCTCCAGAAAAGAGTGGGTGTGAAGCTATCAGGCGCAGTTAAAACTGAAAATGCTCGTGGAGGTACAGCAACACAGCGGAGCGCTGAGGTTTTACATGAAAAAGGTAAGGAATCATAGGAGCTAGGGGCAAACCTTTAGGAGAACTTGTGAGGATGATTCACATTCGCTCTGTTTTGTAAAAGTTAACATGTCGGCATCTCTGCTTTGTATTTGTGTCACAAAATCCTTTTTTTTTTACATAAACACCAATTATTAAATTATGGAGATTATGTGTCAAACTAAACTAACTTTCCTTACTTTAGATTGTTTTCAATGAGTAATCCCAGTCAAGAACAATACAAATAACTATCACCAGCTTTAAAAATGAACAGGAAAGCCTAATAACACGTGAGAAAGTTTGCACTCATCAAACTTTCTCACGTTGCTGGTTGCTGATGAGTTTTGCACCTGTATGTCACCTGATAACCCTCACAAGGTTTGTAGTGAGGACAATTCATTTGAAGTCTTACAGATCTGGCATATTTAGCCAGCGTGAAATAAAAACATAAATAGAAGATAAAGATAAAATCAAGTGGCGTTCTCACGACTGACAAAATCAATAAAAGCTTTTAATTACCAGTATTCAGTATAAATTTTGAGTGACAGCCAGGATAGATTCTTTTAATGCAGCTGCGTGAAAAAAAATGTATACAATTAAAATTGCTTGTAACCATGTTAAATCACCACAGCTGTCTAACTCAGTTGATGCCGTTTTCAGGTTGAGTGTTTTATCCTCATCAGTACTGATGAATTTCAGTGCAGAAATAAGCAATACACTCTGTGAGGACACAGAGTGTATTTTTATATTTGTGAATGTACTTATTTACTATCCAAATCAGACAGATAGTTTATTTTATATATAAAGACACAAGCTATTAGGCTGGGGTTAACAAAAATAGTCCAGGGCTTCTGAAGGGGGAAAGCTATAAACTATTAACCCACCTGCTGTCCTTGGGTTCAAATGATCCCTGGGGTCGTTAAAAACATATTAACAATAACTCACAAGAGAGAAACCAACTGCTGAGGGCAACAACAACAAAAAAAGCGCAAATGTATAATATTCCTGATTGGGGAGGGATGATCATGTACGGTAATCTTTTGCATTTGTATCCCAAAAATAAATACATTAATTAAAAATCACACAAAGAATCCAGTTCACAAGTGATGATTTATGTGTGTTGTTGTGATTGGCACTCAATTAGGTCAAATAATGAAGCTGTCACAATGCATTGTCTATGCCAGCTGTCTGAGAGAAGTCATGGAAATATCTCCCACCAGACACAAGATCATGAATCAGATGAATGATCTACCAGATGTTTCACCATGGCAACCTTTTCGTCTTTGCAATGCTCACCAAAGAGTCTTTGATTTCACTGCTATATTTTGTGAAGAAAGAGAAAAAAGGCCTTCGTTCAGCCCTCATTTTCCTCTCATGAGCTTTGAAGCATGATGCAGTCACTATGTTTAGGAAAGGAGCTCTTGATTCTATACTGTGTTTATAGACAGAGTTCACAGAAGTCATTTTGGATGCTTGTAAAAGGGGTCTATTAAGGTTTCAAGCTCCAGTATTGCACAAATTAGCTACAGAGAGAAACCAAAGGCATGCTGGAAGTGCAGGCGGGGAGTTTTCTCAGCCGGGGAGGAATGCTCAGGGAGGGACGACTGCAGATGGCAGAGGAAATAGTTCCACTGCCTGGAAGTGAGCTCTTAAACTAAAAAAACAAACTAAGTTTGAACATAAGAGAACAATCAAGAAAACTATTGAACTTGTGTTGGACAAGTCACATTACTAGAAGAAACTGGCCTAGATATTTTCTTTAACTTTACTGTACAAACTGTATCTTTGTATTAGGATGTTTGGGATGTTTGTCAGCCTACGCCTATTAGCTCACTGTCCACAACTCCAGACTGCTGAGTCAAATGTCCACAAAGACTTATTTTTCCCTTTACCATGGCAAGCTACAATCAAAACCATGTGGTTCCACAGAAGTTATGTGGGTTTTAAAGAAAATATTTAAACCTGTTTGTTAAAAATACAGCCTTCTTGCCACTTTCTATCCACATATAAATACAATTTGGGAAAATTTATTAAAATCTTGAGAGCATTGTTTTTGAGTAATATTGCATTGCCACCTTTAGCCTTCCTTACAATTACTCAGACATCTGTATTTAACTAAAGATTCAACATTTTCATTCAATGAACCTTCATATCGCCTTTCTTTCTGTTTGTATCTCCTAAGGTCTGACCAGGAGTGCCAGTTTATCAGAGAAGGAGCTGAGGGAGGCACGCCTGAAGAGTCAAATCATCGCTGCTCAGCTTACCACCCACCCGTCCAACTCCAGCTCTACCTCCAGGGGTGTCCAACTCTTTAACCGCCGTAAGCAGAGAGTGAATGCCTTCACGCTTGAAAGTTGTGAACGGGGGTCAGAGGTGGACAAAACGGAGAATGTGAAAAACAACAACTCGTCTGACAAACAAACATGGGCAGAGAGGAGCATTGAAGAAAAGGATAAGGACCTTAATTTGAAAAATACAAAACCACTCGTCTTGTCGCCTATGAACTCTGTAGGTGTTATCATGGATGAGCCAAGTAAGGATTTTAATAAAGAACACATTGACAACAACGTTATCCAGGAGAGACATTTCCTTCCTGTTAAAGAGGAAGAAGAAGACGAAGAGGCAAAAGACGAGATCCAAGATGTTCTAAAGGACAACGAGATGTCTTTCAAAAGGGACAACACTGACACAGTTCAGATGACACATGTAGAAAGGGAGACAGAGACAATTGAGGGCCACACAGAACCAGTTTCCAGTACAAAACTTCCCAATGGTTGTCACAGCACTTCTGGACCTGAAAGGACCTCCATGCCCCAATCGAAGCAGGCAACTGCCATCGTCAACAGAACTGCCAGGCCTTTCTTCTCACCCCCAACAGTGCTCTCTTCAGAGGCAGTCAATCCTGTGATGGACATACCACCTCCTCCATCTTACTCCACACCTCCTCTCCCTTCTTCAGCTGTCCAGCCTGTCACATTCTCACCGCTGCCTCCACCTCCGTCTTATCCAATGCCTCCTCTGCCAGCCTTCACAAATCAACCCCCACAGACCTTCTACTCAAGTCCCTCTCTGATGTCTCCTGTCATGTCCCCTTCCTCTCCTCTACCATCCCATTTCCCTGTTTCTCAGTACCCACCCGTCCTCCAGTGTGGCCCTCCCACTGCCCAAAAGCTCTCCACTTTTGTTCCCCAGCACACGGAGGAGAGGAAGATGATAACACAAATCAAAACAGGAATACTCGAAGAAGGGGCTGCCAGAAGAACAACAAAGAAGTCAATGTTTACATTTAAAGAGAAGCCAGTGATAGCTCCCAACCCTGAGCTGCTCTCTCTGGTGCAAGGGGCAGATGAAAGAAAGAAACATGGACACGTATCTGTTCCTGAGCCAGCATCTGAAGATGAGTTAATGGCTCTGGGAGCAGAAGCCTCCAACTTCCTGGCCAAAGAAGCAAGCACAACAGAGGGAACAAAAGCACCAGAGTGGGCCTCTTGTCTCAAGAGCTCAAAGACCCGACCGAGGATGGAGCACCATCCAGAGCAAACCCTCACCAATGTGTCGGGAAAAGGGGTTGAGCTGTTTGCAAAACGACAGTCCAGGATGGAGAAATATGTTGTCAAGGATCAGAATGTGGGACAAATTAGGTCTCCCTCTCCTGCAATGTCACTACCACCATCTTGGGTTTATCCATCAAACATGCCAGGACGAGTTAAAGCCATTGCCAAGAACTCTGACATGAGTGCTCAGCTTTCTCAGAATCTGAAAGCCCAACAAGCAGTCAAGCAAAAACAAAGGCCAAAAGCTGCATCACCAGAACCAGTTCCTGAGCCGCCTCCTTTGGAAAATGGCTGCTCTAAGATTGAGATGGACCTTTCAAGGCATCGGCCTTATCAGCTTAACTCTTCCCTCTTCACCTTTAATCCGGTCAAGGACCCAATCAGTACCCTCCCCAGAGGAGCACCGCAGGCCAAGAACCAATTTACCACCAGCACTTTTCCCAAACAGACTTCTCTTACCAACAATGCCCCTTCCCGCTTCCAAAGCATGTCTCCTCAGCTGCCTCTCAGCCCCACAAGAGTACCAGAGTATCCATCAAATCTAGGTTCTGGACATCCAGGGATCAGTTCTCCTGTGCCTGCCTTTTCTTCTGAGCGAGTCTCCTCTTCTCGATTGGGAGTTCAGGCACCAAGGCCAACGTTTTCTGCCAAGAAGGCAGGAATTACACCACAGGTGTGGAGACCCTCTCTGTACCACTTTTAGAAAATGTGTTCATGTCAGAGACTGAATATTATGCAGAGATTAACCATGTCTACAAAATTTAAGCAAATTTTAGTGGGGCTAAAGTGTACTGTAATTTCTTTAAACCTGTGAGTTCTTGTGCCTTTAAAAACATATTTTAAGGTTTATGAGGTAAGCATTATAATCTTAACATATAAAATATTGGAAAAATTGGATGAATTACACATTGAGTCATTTTAGCTCAATCTGAATTTTTCTGCATCTTAAAAGATAATCTAAGTAAATGCAAACTAATTTATTTCTGAATACATGATACAAATGCACTTTTCTCGCGACAAAAGATCTATACAGCAGTAACTAACTTTAGAGGATTAAAACTGTTTTAGAGTCATCAAAGTAAGTAGTTTCCATTCCCAAAGCACTTAGGATCTGAGCACTCAAAAATGTAAATTTTTGGAACATATAAAACGTAAAAACAATCTAACAGTGTTTTTCCCCCCACTGGGCACCATTAAGATGCTGCATCATAAAGCACTTTAACAGATGGTCTTGCATCTGTTTTATGATCTATGATTTGAAAGTCTGTGCTGTTTGCTTGGCACGAAAGTTGCAGCAAGGAAACTCTTTTATGCCTTTATGTCTTCTGGTACTTTACTCTGTTTTTCAACATCCTTTATGCCTAAATATATGGTGTATACTTAGATTATGTTCACTTTAAAGTCTGCAGACAGCATCAGATGCTTCATAAACTGATGCATATGTTGTAACTTAAAGCAATAATTCAATCTTTACCCTGTGCTGTTTGAGACTGCAGTATTTGTGCCTTTTTCCATAAACTTTGATTCGCTGCACTTTCTCGCTGTTACCGTCTCCTATAAAATATTTTTTTCTGTGTGTGAGTGAGTCTTTCCTTCTGATTAAATCTTTATGCTAACACTCTGAAGTGGCCTTTTCTATTTTCTTCACGTTTCCTGGTTTCACTGGCGTCTCTCAGACAATATTTTCACTATAAAGCTTTGTGTTGTTAAACTTTCCTGTCTCCTTTGCTGTCACTGGGAACATTTAAAATATGCTTATAAATTATATGCTTCTATCAAAAACAAAGATGACCTACAAACAGGAGCCAAGTCTATTTTGGATTATAATATGTTATTATCGCCATCAGTGAAAGGCGGAGAATGATGTCTGCATTTATATGTGTGTGTATGTGGGTGCAATGGTGTGGCACTGCCAGATCCACACAATTTGTCCCTTACCAGCAGATGGGTTTTCATGAAACTCAGAAAGAAGCCATTAGATATCCAAGCACATAATTAAGTTTTAGTGTCAACCCAATTCAGTATTCAATATTTACAAATATCGAGCTACAGAAATTGTGTGGTAGTAGCTACAATAAGAGTAATCCCAACACATACTCTGAGCACTAACAAATCAAGATACGTCTTTGCTTAAAACTTGGGCAAAAACAGTTGAAGTCAACCCTGTCCGTCTGGTCTGTTTGTTAGCAAAATATCTCATGAACCACTCACATTTTCTCAATGAAACTCTATGAAAGTTTCCATTGAAGCTCTACAACTAATTAACTTTTGGAGTGAATCTAATTCAAGATATCCTTATTCATGCCTCGGAGACATTTCCTCTTTCATCCAAAAGATTTTAGTCTTTTGGATGAAAAGTTTCAACAAAAAGAAACTGTCCAGAGGACCTGATTTACCTTTGGTGGATTTTTCTACCTGGATTATTGAGCATGAATAAGGATGTTTTGAACCACTTTGGTCACGACTGCCTCAAAACGAGTCGGCAGGGGAGAGGGGGAACTCCAGAAACCACCTGAGCACCATCAAACTGGTTGACCCACTATATGAAGATGCTATTTATAAGACTGAGTTTGTTGTGGTTCCTCGGACTGATGACATTTTTTGGATGAAAGATGAAATGCTGCAACAAAAAGAAACTGTCCATAGGATCTAATAACTTTGTTGGACTAATTCAAGATAGATGTCACGACCAATCAGCCGAAGGAAACACAAAAAATGGTGAAAACTCAGCCACTTTTTACAAATACTGAGCTAAAATTCGGCGAGATAGTAGATGAGAGTCATTCCCAAGAAAAACTTTAATATTATCTTATAATATTGTGTGCAATCGTGTAAATTTATTCTCAAGATTTTACCAAAATTACAATAACGCTGCCATTTTCCAAGACATGATTTTTTAGTTTAAAACTGTCAGGAAGGGCAATTATCAAAATGCATTCTTTAAAGTAATGTTAGACTTTTAATTTTTTATGTTTTAAAAGAATCAATACTGTTTTCTAGCACTTATTATGCAGTACTTTCAGAAGAATATTAGCTTTTACGTGGTCAAGCTAAAACTTGGAACTTGGTCTTGTTGGCTTTGGGTAACTCAAAAAATAAAGATAAATGTTGTAACCCTTGACCTGAGCTTAGTTTTTTGCAACAAAGGTCTGAACTTGTGATGTATAACCCATTAATCTAACAAAACCCAAACAGATATTTGCACTTCAGCTTGAATTACTGCACACTCCCTACAAAATATTATCCTAAGCAAAGATAGAGTAGGTTCCTAATTGGTTTGGACATAAGATGGAATGCAGGCTTTGCTCGGGTCGAGTATCTTCATATCCCTGCAAAGGTTAACCACCTCAGGAGGACCAGATGACAGTAACCTGAGAGAGACACTAAAGACTGGGCATACATGTGTGACTTGGCTTACTGAAGAAACATGCACAGAGGGAATGAACATCAAGAGAAACAAATGAACAAACAAATCTAATTTTATTTAAACAGATTGCAAAATGTGAGAGAAAAATATATTGTAATGATCAAACCAAAACGTTAGAATTTATTTTTAAATGTGTAATATAGATATTTTTTCATGTTTGTGAAATTGCTATGCTACAATTTCTTGCTTTAAAATTATATCAGCTGATTTTTTTGTGCGTGTTTCCAACCTTTTAAAACAAAGTTATGCTTTCTTCCAACACAGGAGTCCTCCACAGAAGATATCACTGGTGGAATACCCACACCAACTAGTACACCAACCCTCACAAGACGATTCAGCAGCCCCGATGGGCCAGTCGCAAGAATTTGGACCTCCAGCTCTCAAACCAACCAACACTCCACCACTACCAGTGGCTCCATTAGATCTGTCACTTCTCCTGTCACCTCTTTGGGTAATACAGGATGCCGTTCTTTAATGACCAATCAGAATATACAGTGTTCTTCTAGTACCTCCATTTCTACATCAAGACCCTCCCAAACACCTACATCTCCATGTTCTCCTCCTTGGGGATCAAGATGTCATTCACCAGCAGTCATTCAGTCCACCAAGTCTCCAACTGTGAGCCAGAATAACAAGACCTCCACAGTTGCCTCTTTTTCCACATCCAGACCCTCCTTGACACCTAAAATGACTTCTCCACTCTCTCCTTGGGGATCAAGAAGTCAGTCACCAGTGTCAAGTCAGAATACCCAGTTTTCTACAGGCTTTTCTGTTCCTGTGTCAAGACCTTCTCAAACTCCCCCATGGGGATCAAGAAGTCAATCACCAGCTGTGTCTCAGAATACCCAGATTTTCACAGTGAGACCTTCTCAGACCCCTCCATGGGAATCTAGATGTCAATCACCACTGATAAATCAGAATGCCCAATTCTCCACTGACATCACTTCTACATCCCGACTTACACGAGTATCAACATCCCCATCTCCTGCCTGTCCTCCATGGGGCTCACGTTCCCAGTCCCCTGCACTCTTTCAGAGCAATCTGTTGTTTCAACCCATGGTTCCTCTCCACACATCTTCCACCACCTCTCCTCCTCCTCGACCAAAAGACAGCCGTTGCATGTCCCCAGACAACAATAATATGGACTCCAAAGTCAACCATCGCCTCTTAGCAAAGAATATTATAAATGCAGCCAAGCGTAAAAACAGCCCCTCGCCTGGTGGACTGAGTGGTCACAGCCTCCCCATCTCACCTGTGGGTAACGCCCACCACGACGGGCAGAAATCACCCATCAACTACTTCCAGTCACAGTCGTTGGGGGCACAGTCCCCCACTTTCACCAGTCCTCCTCCAACTCAGAGAATCTGCTCACCTGTAAGGCTCTACAACACCCGGTCCCTGACTGACTCTGATGCCTCTGTTGAGTCTGAAAACTCAGGCCTCCGATCACCTGGCCTTCACTCCTACCACACCTGCCCCCGTGGCTGGGGCAGCCTGAGAGTCAAGAGAGGCTCCACCGACCTGTGAGAGTGAGCTGAAAACAGAATTCCACTTTCATCGACTTTTTCTGGGCATTAAATCACACTTTAAAGAAGTTTCTAACTGAGCTTTAACAAACTGATACTTTTGTAAAGTTGTTTGCTGTTTGCAGACCGTATTAAATATTGTATCCAGGTAGTTTTAGAGTTTCATACGGCTCACACGTAGAAGGACAAGAACAAGCTATTTGTAAAACAGTTGCTGTGGCTTGTATGCTTCTTACATACCAAAAAAAAAAGCAACAACTCAAATTAACCAGATATTTACACTAGTATTGTACTCTTTTCACCTTTTAAACCAACCAGCCTTCACAGTCACTTCTACATTTAGTCTGATTTAAATTGTTGTAAAAGTTACTGATATGTGAGTACATTGGCTGGTCTGAAGAAAGTCAAAGTGGAAAGAAACTTATGGATTATAGAGGCACATATAATAAATATAAACATTTTCGCTCAGTGAGCAATTTAGTTCTTCAGTCAAAGCAACCATTCAGATCTTGTGGATAAGGTTTTCTGAAAGGGATATGGGCAATTAATATCTTACCTGTTGTCGACAGCTTTTTGAACAAGCTGAGTTTGGAGAAATAAACTTTGATTCTGACTGTATTGATGAGCTAACTAGGACCAAAGCAGACCACTATCCTATTAAATCAAGTGAAACGTCCAATTATTTACAAAAAAATTTCAGGTGGTTTTTGCAAGTGCAGATGGTGGCAGCAGCTAGCTGTAGCACTTCTGGTGCAGATTGGGGCATCTCTAGCAGGAATAACATAATTATTCTGCCTAATAACTAAAGTGAAACTGACAGTAAAGT